TTGATATGTGGCAAGAACAAGCCTATTTTACCCGTTATGCCGGCGAAGGGCAGTAAGGTCGAATTTGACGCGTGGGTAAAGACTCAACGGTTACCGTTTGTCATCTACGCCGATTTTGAGGCCTTACTGGAGAAAACAGACGATCGTATGGGTGCATACACCAGGACTGTGCACACCCACCATCCCATGAGCTATGGGTTCATGGTGAAAACATCGGACGATGTGCCCTCCGAGCTCCTCGAACGCTACGGTATACCGCAATCACCGGTGATATACCGTGGGTCCGAGGATCGCGAAGAGGTCGCCAAGGCATTTGTGATGGCTGTAACTGAAGTGACGCGCAACATTTCTAAATTGTTGCGCAAAACCAACGTTCCCATCCGAATGTCTATCGATGATGTGCGCAGGCACGGGGAGAAAGTGGTATGCGACTTGTGCCGCATGGCATTCAAGGATTCCAACCCCAAAGTCGCAGACCACTGCCATCTATCGGGCCGATTCAGACAGACGTTGTGCAATGCATGTAACCTGAAAGTAAAGACGGTCAATTTTGTGCCGTGCTTCTTGCACAATCTTTCGGGTTACGACGCGCATTTCATCGTCACTGAATTGGGGTACGACGACCAAAGGATTTCGGTCATACCGAATTCCGAGGAGAAGTATATTTCGGTCACGAAACACGTGACCAATAACTTCTCCATACGGTTTGTCGACACCTTCCGATTCATGGCCTCCTCCCTGTCCACCTTGGATGGTAACCTAATGACGCCCGACTTTGTTAAATTCCGGGAGACGGCCAAGGTGTTCCGCCCGGAAGACATGCCGTTGGTGACGCGTAAGGGCGTATACCCCTACGAGTACACTGATAGTTGGGCTAAATTGGAAGAAACGGAACTACCACCTCAGGACGCTTTCTATAGTCAGTTGAGTGAGTCTAATATTGATGACGACGACTATAGACATGCCACGGAGGTGTGGAACCGTTTCGACTGCTCAACCCTCGGTGAGTACAGCGACCTATATCTTAAGATCGACGTGTTGTTGTTGGCTGATGTGTTTGAGAACTTCCGCGACATCTGTATTTCAACATACAATTTGGACCCGGCGCACTATTACACCGCGCCTGGTTTTAGCTTCGATTGTATGTTGAAATACACCAGGATGAAGCTGGAGCTCTTGAACGACTACGACATGCTACTGATGGTGGAACAGGGCATTCGTGGTGGGCTAGTGCAGGCCGTCAAGCACTATGCAAAGGCCAACAATTCTAAGACACCCGATTACGATCCGTCAAAACCAGAATCATGGATCGTGTACCAAGACTGTAAGTAATCTATACGTATATATATAAACGCGCAATATTTGAGCGGTGGTTTAATAACGTTTAATGTTTACAGGCAATAACCTTTACGGGTGGGCTATGAGTCAGCCCATGCCGTACGGTGGCTTCCGGTGGTATAAAGGAGCAGACCCTCTGGCTGACCTCCAATCGTTGTCGGACACTGGTAATACGGGGCGTATATATGAAGTGGACGTATCGTATCCACAAGAGCTGCATGACGAGCACAACGACTTGCCGTTCTTGCCTGTCAACGATGTACCGCCGGGTTCCAAAGAGACCAAACTCATGGCCACTTTGAAACCCAAACAGCGGTACGTCGTACATTACGTTAATCTTAAACAGGCGATCGCACACGGACTGCAAGTCGATAAAGTATGTATAGTTAACCTATAAACTATAAGCGATGATACTAATATAAATATTTGTACTGCAGGTGCACCGCGTTTTAGAGTTTCAACAAAGTGCTTGGTTGAAACCATACATTGAGTTGAACACTGAAATGCGGAAAAAGGCGGCAAATGCTTTTGAAATTGCATTTTTCAAACTAATGAACAATGCCGTCTTTGGTAAGTGCATGCTCAATGCTAAAGTGGGTTATTCGATAATTTTTTACATTTTATAGGGAAAACAATGGAGAACATGCGGAAACGCATCCGTATTGAGCTAATCTCCAGTCCCGAACGTCTAAGCAAGCTCGTAAACCAACCAACCTTCAACGACTGTATCAAATACGGTGAAAGGTTGTGCGCCGTCATAATGGACACAAAGATGGTCAAGTTTATCAAACCAATATACGTCGGTTTAGCAGTGCTTGACATTAGCAAGACGCTAATGTACAAGTACTTCTACGACGTATTGAAACCACATTATGGCAGTGCAATCGAATTGGTTTACATGGATACTGGTGAGTACAACCGTACAGTAGAAATATTTTTTATATTTATATATTTTTAATTTTTCTCAGACTCCTTCATATACCTGCTCAGAGTAGGCGACTTCTACCAGGATTTAGCTGGTAGCCCCGATTTACTGGTGCACGTGGACGCATCTAGCCTGCCCAAGGATCACCCTTGCTACTCCACCGATAGAAAGAAGATGCCCGGCTTGTTTTCAGACGAGACCAGTGGCCTCACTCTCTTTGAGATCGCTGCACTTCGATCAAAGTGCTACGCATTTGACATGGAAGGCAGCGAACTCATAAAGTCTAAGGGGATCCGCGGACACGTCGTCCGGAACCATCTGTCTTTGGACGATTACAAACGGTGTTTGTTTAAAGACGATGGTGACGATGGTGACGATGCGTCAAAACGAGCATTGGCTGGAGAAAATGCCCGTGCGGTCATCGGAGTGATACGTGGTGGCGAGTCTCCACCGACATTGGCGCTACCCTACACTCCGTACCGACAGAACGTGTCAATCCGTTCGTTTGAGCACGAGGTACGGACTTTACGTACAACCAAGTTGGCGCTTAACCGTTTTGATGATAAGCGCTACACGCTCAACAACAGAATCGACACGTTGGCCCACGGGCATTATGCTATACCACCACCGGAAGACCTATAGTTCTTATCATTTTAAAAAAAAAATATCGTCAATAATTGAAAATTTTTTTTTTGTAAATATACATGTATATAAGTAGTTTTAAAACATTTTTTTAATGTAACATAATGTAGTAAGAAATTGTATTTTTTCTAAAAAATATATGTATATGCGTGTACATATTTGTAAATATATATATAATATATATATATACTACAACGTTTTTTTTTTTTTTTTTTCTCTTCTGTACGGTACAATAGTTGTACGTGTAAGATGCCATAGTATTTAAACTATAGTTACGTAATGAGATGTCACATTTTAATGGTAAAGTATTATTCACCAAAACTCTAAGAATACCCTACTGTATTTTACATGTATCATACAGCTAGGTTTTTGACCATGTTTTAACCTTTCTGAAGAAGAAAAATGATTTGAGTTTTATAGAAACATAGTTTTTTTCATATGATAGAAATAAAATCCTAGCTAATAATCATTATTTTAAACATTATTCTTTAAACATATTTGTATCCATTATAATTTTAATTACAAGTTACGTTGAAAACGCGATTTTCACAATGTCTCAGTATATAATAATAATAGCACATGTCAATGCAACATACGTTTATTTTAAACAATTTTTTTTTTTTTTTTTTTAAATTATATACATGTTTTAGATACTTGTCGACAGATAGCTATTACTAACAACTACTGTTGGTATTTCTTGGTTATTTGTATTTGATGGTATGATTGGTTCCGACTGTATATCATCGGCCAGCGACCCAAAAAATGTCGAGCATACGTTTTCTCCGTTAGAAGACTGAAAAAATGAAATATATTTATTAAAAAATGTTCTACTCAGTAAAAAAAAAAAAAATGTAATTCACCATTTCTTTAGTATATTCTTCCAGCATCGTCCACCGTTGTTCCAACTGCTGGCTCGCAAATTGTTTTATTTGGCTTATGTAGCTCAGATCGCTATTGGGTAAACTATTTCTAATCGTATAATCCGAAACCGCATTGATCAACATACATTTGTTTTCCACATTTACTTCATACTGAGATTTCATATATTGAGCCATCTGTTCCAACTGTTGTAGAACCAATGGTTGAATTACAGTCATCTTTTGATTGATAGTCTCAAAGATACAACATTCCAATGCGCTGAGTTTTAAAATGTCTGATTGGGTGAGTAACACTCGGCATTCATCTTGTGCTTGCAATTCAAAGACTAGCGAAGACTCTCCTTGAAACGTAGTCTTTGAGAGTGTGACGTATTCATCCTTGAGTAAAATAATCTTTTGTCTTGATACAGGGTCGAAAATTAGCGACAGAATATTACCCATCAACGTATAAATCCGTTGTAGGAAATCTATCGTTATAAGTATGTAACGGGTTGACGATAGTAAACGAATAGTTACGTTAAATCGATCTTTTGGATCCAATCCTATCTGAACGAATTTACGAGGATTGAAATTCAAAACGTAATCAGTGCAATCGATTAATTCACTGTGAGGTTGGGGTTTAGCAAATGTTTGTTTGTTATAGAATTTGGCAATTGTAGCGAGAGAACCAGCCATTCTTAAAGTATACAAATATCGACTTAACACATTACCAACAAGTTAAAGTAACGTCTGTTTATATAGAAAATCTTATAACGATTAGAGCGCTATGCTTACACCACGGTGAAGTTATTAACTAATTTAAACCCAATAGTAATTAATAGTCTAATTTTCGCTGTTAGATATGATACAAACAGTTGTAAACACAAGCAGACGGGGTTCAAACAGGATGAACAGGGATTTGAACGCGTTCAGACAGGTTTTAACATGTTCAGACTTGTTGTATCGAGATTATAAGAATCCAGGATACACTGTTCGGTAACCCGACACAGTGTCCCTACTACTTTTATAAACAGCCTACTACATGCCATACATAGTACAACCTGCTACAAATACCATAGCGTATAGTAAATTTTCTATTTAATGTGTAAAACTCTTCTTTGCACTGCTTAGTACTACAGACTTTTATTTAATATTCATTATATACAAAGGCATAAAGTTTAAATAAATATGACAAAATTGTATAAAATAAAAAAAATAGTATATATNCGACAATAAAATAAAAAATAGTATATTTTATTGAATTTTAAATCTTACAAGTTTATAATAATAAGTTTTTTTATTTTTTTATATAAATAAGTTTAAAAAACAAGGCAAAATATTAACAAATTACTGAAAATCAAACAAATATGCATTTCCTCTTTTGCCTCTATATAATAAATGTATTTTGTTATCATCATTGTTGATATTGTAAGCTTCGATTTCTTCATTAGTTAATTTCAATCTCGGGATAAACACATTCATATTGTTGAATAGACAACCAACAACGACAACCCCATTTCGTGTGCTTGTATTTTTCATAGATATGATTTTGTATGGCGTGTGTTCCTCCAAATCACTTAATTTTGAATATATTTTTAATTTACTCTGATCATTCAATTGTTTCTTTAATTGCTCCATTCTAAAATAAAAAATTAATAAATATTTAACAACTCTAAACATAACTAGTAACCAAAGTCAGTAGAAAACAGTTTAAATGAAAAATATATATAAATGTATTACTTACTTTAATTTATATCATAAGTGATAGAAACNAATGTATTACTTACTTTATTTTATATCAAAAGTCTTAGAAATTCTTTAGGACAACAAATAGAAATAAACAAGCAAATGGTTTTTGGTATAATCGCTTTGGAAAAGATAATGAGTGAATGATCCTGAAATTGATGTGACGTTCTTTTATAGGGGTCAAAGATCTTGTTTAGACAAGTTTTGGTTGGTTTAAACAGGTACTACACAAACGATGTCGGAAATATGCTTATCTAAGCGTCTGGTAAACAGTAATAAAATTCCATAACGACAAACGTTGCCATTGTTCTGATAAAACGCGTAGGCGTTAAAAAAGACAACGTTGCCATTTTTCTCATAAAATGCATACGACAGTGACCATTAATATATTGTAACATCTTTGGAAATATGCTGACCTAAGCGTCTGGTAACCGATGATAAATTTCTTAGAATTTATTATGCCATAACGACAGACGTTGTCATTGTTCTCATAAAATGCTGACGCCTATGAACGTTATAATATAGTAATACATTTGATGTTTAGAATATGCTGACGTAAGCGTCTTGTTACTAACGATAAAATACTATGTAAAAAATAAATGCATACAACAGTGATTATTACTGTACGGCGAAATCTTTGATGTTTTAAATATGCTTACCTACNATCTTTGATATTTTAAATATGCTTACCTAAGCGTCTGGTTACCCATGATAAAATTCTTAGAAATTATAATGCCATAACGACAGACGTTGTCTTTGTTTTTATAAAATGTAGACGGTAATGTGTGTTATAATATGGCGGTACCTTTGATGTTTGAAATATGCTTACCTAAGTGTCTGGTAGGGAATGATAAAAATTCTTAGAAAAAGATAACTTTGATAAAACGCAGACAGCAATTATTTTTCATAAAATGTTGACGGTAATGTGGGTTATAATATGGCGGTTGGTTTTAAGTTAAGTTTCATTATCCATTCGCTCATTAGGACATGTTGAGGAAATCCCCCTCCCCTGACTTAGGTTAGTTTCATTGGGTTTCACACATTGTGCGCACCTCACCNTCATTGGGTTTCAAACATTGTGCGCACCTCACACCCAATTGTCTTAATAGAGTTTGTTACAAATCGTTCAAGGAATAGTCAAGTGTGGTGGCGGCGGTCGCTACTTGACGTACACTATTTCAATGTAATGTATACATTAAATAATAAACGCAGTGAAGACTCGGGGGTGCTGGTGGTGGGGGAGCGACTTTAAAATGTAATACCTCAAGTTATAGGTATAAAAAAATTGTCAAATTAAATATAATAAAATAAAATGTAATACATATATTATTATTTTAAAGGCGCAGTAGAAAATAATAATAATAGCGATTATACTATTATAGCAACCTAAACATAGTAATTCTAAAAATATATTACCAATTATAGTAATTATATTAATTATATAATTAATAGTAATATACTAATATTAACGAGATGTTTTTCTAAACATCTGGTGGTAGGCAATGATAAAATACTATGTAAAAAATAAAAATGCAGACGCCTATGAACGTTATAATATAGCGGTACCTTTGATGTTGGAAATATGCTTAGCTAAGCGTCTGGTTACCCATGATAAATTTCTTAGAATTTATTATGCCAAAACGAGAGAGGTTGTCTTTGTTTTTATAAAATGTAGACGGTAATGTGAGTTATAATATGGCGGTACCTTTGATGTTGGAAATATGCTTAGCTATGCGTCTGGTAACTGATGATAAAATTCTTAGAAATTATGCCATAACGACAAACATTGTCATTGTTCTCATAAAATGCTGACGTCTATGAGCATTATAATATAGCAGTAATAATAATATAGTTGGATTCATCCCCACCCATTATAGGTTAGTTTATGTTATGTTTCCTGTATAGGAATTGTTGACAGAGTCGTAGCGTTAATATTAAGTAAATATGTTAAAGTGGCAACGGCGGCCATTATTTGACGTACATTATTTCAATGTAATGTGTATGTTTACACGTACGTTTATCAGTTACCGTTATCAGTTCACATGAGGTTTACCTTACCTTCCAGTAGATGACATCGTAGGAGGAGACAACCATATGGCTACCTACCCCACCACTGACATGAAGTTATAGTGCGCATGCGCACTTTAAACCGCCATTTTGATTTACCTTAACAACCCCACCTAAGTCCCAAATTACCCCTACCATCGTGATACCACGCCTTCTCCTTACCCAATCAATGATGAGACCACACCTCCCCTTACCCCATCATTGATAAGACCACGCCACCCTTACCCCCACCACCGAGAAACCACGTTTATTGTTTGACCTTGACCACGGTCATTACCCCACACCATCGTGAGATCACTCCACCCCTTCCCTCCACCATTGATAAGAACACACCTCCCCTTACCCAATCAATGATAAGACAACGCCTACCCTTACCCAATCAATGATAAGACCACGCCTTCTCCTTACCCCCACCCTCATGAATGCGATCCTCCATTACCACCACCATCGAGAGACTACGCCTCTCCTTACCCAATCAATGATAAGACCACGCCTTCTCCTTACTCCCACCATCGAGAGACCACGCCCACTGTGTGACCTTGACATTACCCCCACCATCGAAAAACCACGCCCACTATAACACGACCCTCCTCCCAGACCACACCCACCCATCGGATGTTGAGTAGGTGAAGGGGTGAGACGGGGGGCCTAGAACTCTCTATTTTACCCTACTGATATTATTTTTTTATAATTAGTCGGGGTGAGTATGGAACATTATAATAAATCATAAAAATATGTAGCCTATGTTTTATTATTTTGAAATATTAATTCTTCCAAAAGTACTGGTTTAATAGTTGTTATCTACCAGTCATTTGATTAATTAGATCATTTTTTTGACGTACACTTAAAATATACATACTCTTCTATACAAAATTGTTTATGGAATATTTAAATTAAAAATATTTCTTTATAATATAAGTAACACTTTACCTCATTTGAAGGATCGAATATTTCATATTCTACTGATTCTTCATCCTATAAAACAATTACTTTATTTAAAATATTACTACTTAAAAAATGTATAGATATTTAGAACTGTAGTTAATTTAATACCAAACATATAAATGATACAGAAATGTATAATGAGACAGAGTTGTATTTAAGTTTTTACTGATTTATTTTTCATAATATACATATGAACTTTTTTTATAGTGTTTGGATTGTGTCACGTTACAATTTTTTGTAAAAAATTATTATAGAATATCACAAAAAGCGCATCCAATACTAGAGACTGATTTATATTAAAACTGATTTATATTGATATTTAAACCCAAAGGACCTGGGCATCGTAGTCCGTCGATACTATACTTTATGTCATTCATCATCCTCAGTACTCAGTTGTGGCTGTCCGGCTTACTGTCTTAAATCAAGTCTTTATTCTTTCTTCTTTATTTGTTCTTGCACTACGTTATCACCTCGTACTCTGTTGTCTTTCTTACAATGTACAATCAGTATTTGTGACTTGCACCTCGTCTGCAACTCATACTCAGCTATCCCTGTTAGTTATCCTCTCCCATAACCGAAGTATTTGTGTATTTGCATTCCGTCTGCACCTCATACTTAGGTGTTGCCCTTATTACATTCCTATAACAACGACCTTTCGATGATACTCACAGCCGACTCGGAGTGTCAGTTGAGCACAGTAACAACTATACGGCGATCACACGTACAGGAATGTCCATGCAGCAGACTTATCATATTCGTATTCACACTAATCTTAATTACTCACTGTAGGTTGTTTTGTATTACGACAGTATAATATTAAAAAATTATCAATGAACAGCAAATTTGACATTCATTTTAAAATTACATTTATGTATAATTAAAAATGGTTGTTTAATCTATCAAACATTAATTTCTAAGATCAACAATAAATACATAAAAAAAAAATGTGGTTTCTTAAATCATTTTTCGATCTATTTTCGATAATTAATAGAACATTATTTAATTTTTATACGTTTCTTTATTGTAATAAATATATCATATTAATTTTCCTTCGCACATAATTTACTATATTATCCAATGTAACTTGATATTAATTAAATGTTAGTGTTAGAGACATTAGTTGTGTGTAGTGTAGTGCGATTGTGTATATATTAGTATAAATATTTATGAACTTTAATGTATTATGAAATTATTAAAATTATAAAATTCTTTTAAATATTTCTCAATCTCCTGTATCTCACTTTTATTATCTATATCAACACGGGTTATTTTAATTGTACTTGAAATTAAAACAAACTTAACAATTTATTATATTAAAAAATGACCTGACAAAAAACTACTGGCCAATAGAAAGTATTGAACAATTATCTCAGAAGAACTTATTTTTATATATAGACAATGAGAAATTTGGAGCAAAATGCCTAAACATCAACATAATATGTTCTGTGCCTCACGTGTAGTCATTATTTCTCAGTTATCAAAACAAATAATTAAAAGTTAATATCGGTCAGTCATTTTATTAATTAAAGTATTTTCTATACTGTGAGTATAGATATAGAGTATAATATATATACTTTTCTATAAAAAATTGCATACTGATAAATTAAATTAAAAAAACATTTATTTATATTTAACAATTCACCTCATTTGAAAAATAAATTTCTTCACTTGATCCATTACTCTACAAAATAATTATTTTAATTGTTAATGTGACTTTTAAAATTGATAAATATTCAGAAATCTAAATAATTTCATATAGAACATATTTTCTCTACAAAATTGTACACTGAGTCACAGCTANTTTCATATAAAACATATTTTCTCTACAAAATTGTATACTGAGTCAGAGCTATTTTTATATATTTACTCGTCTATTTTTCACCGTATTTATATGTTAATATACGAAGATTATCATAGATTACTATATGTAAAAAAAAAAAATCGCCAAGCCACTATATGATAATAAATAATAAATTTATAAAATAATAATAATTATTAATACTTGATCTGAATCATAGTTATTAGTTTCTTCATTGGAAAAGGACATCTCAGTTGAAAATTTAGTTAAGGTAATTACACACATAAAAAAGAATAATAATTCAAAACATGAATAGAAACCCATTTTTAATTTGATTACTACTGTAACAGTAATGTCAGTCTAGTACTGACAATATAATTTCAAAAATATCAGGTTAAAGTGATAAATTGTTTTATTAATAAAATTAATTCCGTTTATAAAGAATAATTCAGTCTATTTTAAATCTCTAAAATATGAAAAAACAAAAATCTTTCGTCGAAAAATATATTTAAATTGTAACCAATTTTTAAATAAGTCATCCTTCCATTAATCAAATTTAATTTTCATGATCATATATGCCTGTATGTTATTAAAATTATTTATATAAAATTGCAGATAAATTTTAACTATTTATTTAAAGAAAAATTAAATTTATTATGAAAATTTAAACTATATCATAGTTATTTTTATTATATGAAAATGTGTATTGTTACGTATATTAATACTATTGCGTAATCCAAATAGGGCGCACAATTTATTACACCTATCTATATATATATATTTAAATCTATCTATGCGTCGTAGTCGTGTTCGTTGGAACTAGGTACGTCGAAGCAAAACGAAAAGAAAACAAAAGAACAACAGAAAATACCACACTTCAGTTGTTACGTAATCCAAAGGATGCGCACTCTTAATTACAAATATATATACATATATATATATATATCTATCAGTTGTAGTCGTGTTCGTTGGAACTAGGTACGTCGAAGCAAAACGAAAAGAAAAACAAAAGATCAACAGTAAAATACACCACCTCAGGTGTACGCCGAAAACGAAACAGAAAGCAATATCGGTAATCCATATTCGGCGGCGGCCTTATCTCAGTGTCAAGGGCGGGGTGATGACCGNGGCCTTATCTCAGTGTCAAGGGCGGGGTGACGACCGATGACAACCGATTGTCATATTAATAGCTGGACGGCTGATATCGAGAGAGACATGGGTGAGCGCCAGCCTAGAGCAAAAGGTGGTGCCGTGTCAACTCCCCCCCACCAAGCCGTCAGTCTATTTCTTGACCCGGCCGATATTTGTAAACAATTTGTCGTATCGTACGTAGTAGATAAAAGTAATAAACAATTGTTGAATTACCGCTATGTTCCTTGAATGTGGTGATGGTCACTGATATTGCGTTTTAAGACTTACCGTATTAAACTGAAACCTTCAGTCTCGCTGGCAAGAGAGAAAAGACTATTCGGTCCCGTCATCCGTAACCTGCGGATGGCATAAGGACCGAGGAGTTAGAGGAAGGAAACTCCTCGACCGATTACTCGGCTCGAGGAGTTTCAGGAGGGGAGTCAGTAGGAGGAGGACAACAGGGAGCATCCGCTGGGAAAACTTCCAGCGCGGGTCCCAGGTCGTCTTCGACCTCCATGGGCGACGGTCCCACTGCGGCGGTTGTTGCGGCGGAGCTGGCGGAGCGTACGATCTCCGAGAGAGGGGGAAGGCGAGTCCGTGGCGCCGGCATCGGGGCCGCCGGTGCGGTTGTCAGACGGAGAGCCGCCTCCCTCTCCCGGTCCTTCCTTTCTTTGAAGGCCCGATTGATGCGCTCCCTCCGACGTACGTCGGAGGGAGTGAGCTTCCTATACCCTGGGTGCGCCGGTGGCGGCCGGGTTGCCGAGCCCGTCCCGGAGGACGTGCTCGCCACGTCGGCCGCTCTGTCCCGGGTGTAGTGCGCCGGGGCTGGACGGTCGGCGGCCCGACGCCGTCGGCCCGTCGATCGCTGCACCGCCGCGCCGGTGGTAGCCGGGCGCTGTGTGGGAGGGGCCCCCCCCCCCCCTCGGCACAGGCCGCGGGACCACCGGCACGGTGGCGATAGCCCTTCGGGTTTCGCTGAGGGACGCCGCACGGCCGTCCCTCACTCCCCGGGTATAGAACGCGTTCGCGATCGGGTCCCTCAGGATCTGATGTAACGCAGCGCTCCGGGCCGCCTCGACCGTCGCACGGATCGCTGGGACGTTGGCCAGTGGTATGTCGAGCGCCTCCGCCAACCGGCGAAGGAGGTCGCGTACCAGGCCATCGCGTTCTCCACACTTTTGACAAGACATGCTGAAAATAAAACAGCCCGTTAGCACTACTATACCTCGACGACAGCCCGTATACGGGCCGTAATTTGTAGTACTTGACAACTATTTTAATTTTAAACATGCTACGTGAAGTTTGCGTAAGGGATTTTGGTCTGTCAGAAACACCCCTTTGCCTACTTTTTCCGCTAATCTGACAGGGCCCCACCACTTCGGCGCGAAGCCGGCACAAAATTTTTTTTGTTTATTAGATAAGTGGTGTGCTTTATAGTACACCACGTCTCCGACCGTAAAAGGTTTTACTACGTGTTTCGTCGGAGCGTTATCTACAATTTTGCCGGCCTGCTGTTTGGGTGATGGACGGCTATTGTTTACATTGTCGGCAGTCGCCGTGTTTACATGTACGACCGCCCAGTCACCAGGTCGTTTCGCCTCTCGGCCGAGAACGAGTACGGACGGCGGAAAACCGGTTTTTTCATTCCGACGATTACGCAACGCAAATAATATCGACGGTATTTTAATGTCCCAGGTGCTATGGTCGCCCTCTACTAGTAGGGCGCGGAGACCTTTTTTTAGCTCCTGATTTTTTCGTTCTACCGGATTTGCGCGCGGATGATAAATAGGTGTGGTCCAGGCTTCCGCCCCCCATCTATTTATCGCGTTAATCATTTCGTTAGAAACCAGATTCCGTCCGTTGTCGCAAAGCAATACGCGGGGGTACCCAAAACGTGAGAAAAATTCGCGTTCGAGCGTGTCTACAATCGTTTTTGTAGTCGCTGCGCCTATCGGGTACGCTTCGGTCCAGCGACTGAAACAGTCAGTTGCTACTAACAGGTTCGTTTTTCCCCTTGATGTTCTGGGGTACTCACCCATTAAGTCGATACTAATGACCTCCCACGGTTGTCTTGGTTTGCGCGAAGTTAG